ACAAGTCTTGCCCTAACCTGCGCATCTAAAACATCTTTCATAGTTAAGAGATAGTCCTCCCTACCTGGATTTACAGATGAACGCATTGTGTTAGGGGCCAAGGCAATTTCTCCTGTTTCCATTTTACCGTGAGCAGCAATGAGCAACAAAGCAACCGAGGAGATACGTCTTAAAACTTCACCTTTTGTTGCCTGTATTCCAACGAGAGGTACAGCTTGAAGTATTTCCCCAATCATCTACACTTCCCTCTTGGCCCAAATTAACTGATCAAGCGGCTTTCCTTTATAAACCACCTCCTGTACCCAGGGATCGCCGACAAGAAGAGCGCCAGTCTTGCTGTGCCAATCTGTTGAACAATTTTGGATTAATTGCAGACTAGAAAGTGAGGGAAGCAGACGAATTCTAAACGTTTCGCAGAGGTACTTTGATTTTAAGTCCATGAAAGCAGCATAAGGCGCCAAACACAGAGGTCCTTGTGGAACAATCACAACCTCATCGCCCTGGAGTAAGTCTCTTATAGGGTCTATGAAAACACTGTAAAATGTTTGCAATGACTTTGTCTCAAAATATGAAGGATGAGACTGTGCCTTACTTGATCTTTCTTCTGCTAACTTCTTATCGCTTGGGTTACTTAATGAGCGATCTTCACAATTAACATCAGCTCTTACACCTATTTCTTTATGTGCAGTCTCCAATAGATAGATAGATAGATAGATAGATAGATAGATAGCTTTAATTCAAATCATATGGCAGCCCAAAGGCTGAATTGCATGAATTTACAAATACAATTGATACAAAACTTAAAATATAAAAATTGTACTAAAAAATCTACAAAATCGTACTTTAGAATTCTTATTCATAAAAATTATACTGTGGATGAATCAAACTTTATACAAAAAAAGAAAAACTGCTAACGCCTGCACATAGATTGCAGAAATGTGCTAGAAAAACGCTTGGTACGCATGACTGGATTTGCAAAGTGGCGTTAAAGGGACTGAAAATAGGTTGTGACGGACATATCAATCTCAGTTCTTCTAGTTTTGATTTCATTTCCTTTCTCGTTCACCCAGAGAACTATTCCTCCGTCGCTGATACCCATGAAAGCTGTATTTGGTGGTAAGTAACTAGCAAAATCACTTCGGCTTGCAGAAAGTGTTCCTATTTCTGGGCGTATAGCCCTTTAAGGCCATACTTGAACTCCAGAAGATCATTTAAAGCTCCTGCACGTCCTTGATCAGCAGTTAAAAGTGCCGCGATGACTTTACCTTCCTTAAAAAGCAGCTCCCACAGGCTTAAATTAATCTGATCATTCGTACTTTTAAGGGTAATCTCCCATTCGTCGTTAGATATGAGATTTCTCCTAATGTGGTCGAAGGCTATAACACTGCTCTCATAAGACTGAATAGCTCTCTGGAAATCTCCAAGACTGTTATAGGCGTTGCCAAGATTACCGCACGCGCTTCCTTCTCCTGCCCTGTGTCCCACTTCTTTCGAAATTTTGAGGTCTCGTTCATAGTACTCTATGGCTTTCTGGAAATCTCCAAGACTGTAATAGGCGATGCCAAGATTACAGTACGCTTTTCCCTTTTCTGCCTTGTTTCCCACTTCTTTCGAAATTTTGAGGTTTCCTTTATAGTACTCTATGGCTTCCTGGAAATCTCCAAGACTGTAATAGGCGATGCCAAGATTACAGTACGCTTTTCCTTCTCCTGCCCTGTCTCCCACTTCTTTCGTAATTTTGAGGTGTCGTTCAAGGTACTCTATGGCTTTCCGGAAATCTCCCAGATTGTAACAGTTTACAAAGGGGTCGCCAATATTACCATTAATAGCTGCGGCTGTCATATTTTTTTTTGCTGGCTTTGCTATTTCAGTTCAGCCACATATTGTGGTTTATTTTTTCTGCTGATACCATTTCTCTTTATATACGATAACGAAGAGGGTCTGAAAAGTAAAATTAAAAGCTGGAGTAAACGCGTATTTATTAGCTCCTTAACTATTTGTTTTTGTCTATCACTGTCGCATTCGATTTGAATCAAAAAGGGATCCTTATACATGTTTTTCTTCGTTGTATAATATGACTTGATGGACTGGGGTCTTCTCTAACAAAAGAAAATATTAACATTCGTTTGGTGATAATGATCGCAATTAAAAAAACAACAACAACAAAGAAACAGATCTACCATTGTTTAAACATGGTGTATATATAGATGATATTATATGGCAGACGGAGATGGGAAAATTCTCTTCGAGTATTGAAAAATATTTCACTCGTTCGCGCTAATTTTTTCAACACGAGAAGAGAAATTTCGTATCTCCAAGCGACCATGTAATGTTCTATATATCATATAAACACCAATGAAACAGCAACCATTTTACTTAAGAAACGGTCCAGATAAGAACGATAGCAACAACGGCAACGAACATGTTGGAATGCAGAAAAGGTGCTAACTTTTCTATTGTCTGTAATTACTTCTATTGGCTTAAACAGCAAAAGTTAACAAAACTTCATAAAGCGGTACATATATTCATCCTTACTTTCCAACCATCTTCCATATAACAAAATCTAGTCTCAGTTTGAATAACACAGAAATCCTATGTGGGGAACATGTGAAATTGTAAACTTTTCTTGGCTATAGAGCGTTTTCACTCACGTGGCCAGCATCTATGCTAATTTATTGGAACAAAAGAAAGTTTTTACATAAGAAAAGAATTCAACTCCCACAGGATTGTCTAGGTACACCAACATGGCCGCCGTTCCATTGTTTTGGAACACCAATATGGCCGCCGTGACGTCATGTGAAAACGCTCTATTGTTTTCAACTCTTGTGATTGGTCAAAATCTTTTAACACAAAAAAACACCCTTTCAAAGTGGAGTGTAAATGCATTTTATTGCGTAAACGGCCTTCATGTAGGTTTATGCATTCTCTGTGTAAAAATGAGAACATTCCTATTTGGGGAAAGCACCGTTGCCGCATAACAAAAGAAATTGCTTTCCACCTTACCCGGATCATTACTTAAATAGTTTTTGGTCTCAAAGGTGGGGTTTATTATGAAGCTATAGCAACGATGACATTTTCACATGTGAAGATAATCTGTTATTTTCACATGTGAAGATATAAAGTTTTCGCGCGAAAGCTCACTTGGTATTTCATTGGTGTTTATATAATAAAAGTTGTCTCTCTACTCATTATACATTCATCCACCTTCCGCTGAAAAAATAAATTTGTTGTCAATAAACAAACCACAAACCGGGCAAGCGGAAACATTTCAGAACATTCAAATTTGGGAACCGGTGAACTTATTTCTAAGGGTTAACATCTCTAGGTAGCGGAATACAAGTGTTTAGCGATTGAAAAGAAAACCTATTTCTTCACCACCAAAACACTGAGAACGTTACAGGTATTTTAAGCTTGTAAGACGGCCTATCCAAAACTCATGCACCAAAATTTTGCCAGTCAAAGCCTTACAGTTGGAACCTCTAGTAAATGACCACCTCTTGTAAGCGACCGCGGTCACTTTTTTGGGCTTAGCTCATAAAGCGTCTGTTATGCAGGCTAACTAAAACTACCCAAGTCAGAATTTTTCGATTTAATGTACTTACCACATTTTCTTGGACTTCACTTTCTTCCTCGGCTGTTGTCATAGCGTAAACGAGTTATTCGCATCATCGGCCGCGTCACTTTGAAGCGAATTTTTACGAGACGTGTTTGAACAATCACAAACTGCACCTTAACAAAAAAGGTATTGCTATTTTAGCTAGTAATTTCGTAAATAATATTGTTCGTTGACATGATTCCTATTCAACAACTGTGGCGACACCTAATTCCACCACCACAACTAGTGCCAGGAGCAATTCGAATTCTGATTTTATATTTCCCAAGCGTCGTGGGTTTAAAATGGCTAGCTGAAATATTACAAGTCTATTGAAACGTATAGATGAACTTCGTATCGTATTAGATGGTCAACCAACTCATATACTAGCTATTAATGAGACGAGACTCGACGGGAGTATATCTGATCAGGATGTTAAAATTGTGGGTTATGATGTCATCCGTCGTGACAGGACCGTTAATGGGAGATTTGGTGGGGGTGTATGCTTCTATATTCGTTCGAATATAAATTACGTAGTCCGCGAGGATTTAAATAACGAACTTTTAGAAATCTTATCGATTGAAATTTTAAAACCTAACTCAAAACCTTTTGTTGTTACCTCGTGGTACCGACCGCCAAATTCACTTATAGACCTTTTCTCGAATATTGACTCCTTGTTAGCAAGAATTGATTCCGAGAATGTTGAACATTATTTTATGGGTGATATAAATTGCGATTTGCTGTCCAGCGAAAACATTTATGCAAGGGCTCTGTTAAATGTTACCGATATTTATGGCTTAAAACAATCAATCGACGAGCCTACTCGAGTCACACCCTCAACAAGTACCCTAATTGATCTTATTTTCACCAGTCACCAAGACAATATTCTCTGTTCTGGGGTGACACACGTGGGTATAAGCGATCACAGTCTTGTTTACGCGTACCGTAAAATTTCAATCCCGCCTGTTTCTAAAGGAATCAATTTGATCAGCTATAGACAATTTAAACACTTCGACAGCAATAATTTCCGTAATGATGTTTCGACGCAACCGTGGGACGATATCAAAGAACTGTACGACCCCAATGACATGTGGAAAAAGTGGAAAGAATTATTCCTAAGTGTTTGTGATAAGCACGCCCCTGTGAAAACTAAACGCACCCATCCCACCAAGTCTCCTTGGATTACCACAAATTTGAAAAAACGAATGAATTTCAGAAACCGGCTAAAGAAAAAAGCTGTTACAACTAAGGATGGAATCGATTCCGGAAGGTCAAAAATAAAGTAAATCAGGAAATCAAGGCTGCTAAAAAGGCCTATTATAATAATTCTTTTAATAATTATGCCGGTGATCAACGTAAGACCTGGAACACCATCGATGAATTGACTTCCCGCAAATCTAATAAAACAATGATAAATGAAATGCAATATCAGGGACTAAAATCGAGCAATCAAGCAGAAGTTCCTGAATTGTTGAACACTTTCTTCATTGAGATTGGACCAAGGCTTAGTCGAAATGTTTCGAATGTTGATACCACCTACAAAGAGTTTCTTTGTGGAACTTCTAAGGAGTTTGTCTTCAAGGAAATGACATCTGCTCATATTTAGTCTTGTCAATGCCGTTGCCTTCTTTGACTTAAAAAAGGCTTTCGACACAGTTGATCATCATATCTTATTAACGAAATTACAATATTATGGATTACGCGGTTCCTGTCACGAATGGTTTACTTCGTGTTTAAACAATCGTACCCAAACTTGCCAAATTAATTGCTCAATGTCAAACCCAAAATTAGTTACATGTGGTGTTTCCCAGGGAACAATTCTTGAACCTGTATTGTTTTTACTGTATATTAATGACCTACCTAATTGCTTGCATTTTTCACAACCTAGAATGTATGCCGATGACACCAGCCTAACCTATGCCAGCGCAGATTTAAAACTCATAAATGACTGCGTTAACGACGATTTAAACAAGGTGTATATATGGCTATCGGCTGACAAACTGACCCTTAATTTGACTAAACCTGAGTTTATGTTAGTTGGGTCGAGGCAGAAGCTATCAAAGCTTTCTGAAACTCCTTCTTTTATGATAAACGACCATCCCGTGATGCAAGTGTCAACGGCAAAATCTCTTGGAGTGCATGTTGACCAAAACTTAAGTTGGGAATGCCACATACAGAGTATTTGTAAAAAGATTGCTTCTGCTTTGGGTGCAATTAAAAGAATACGACATCTTATTCCTTTTAATGTATTAATTAATGTTTACGACAGTTTAATTCAACCGCATTTTGATTACTGTAATGTCGTATGGAGCAACTGCGGCATTGGTCTTTCCGATAAGCTGCAGAGGCTCCAAAATCGTGCAACCCGTATTCTAATGTCCGCCAATTCTGATTGTAATGTGGACGATTTGTTCCTGGCACTGGGTTGGCGTAAGCTTAAACACCAAAGACAAGTATCGACAGCTATTATGATGTATAAAACCGTACATGGGATGACTCCCGACTGTCTAACATCTAAATTTGTATCTCGTGACGAAATAACTTCTTATAGAGCGTTTTCACTCACGTGGCCAGCATCTATGCTAATTTATTGGAACAAAAGAAAGCATTCACATGAGAAAAGAGTTTAACTCCCAGAGGATTTACTGGGTACACGAACATGGCCGTCGTTTCATTGTTTTGGAACACCAATATGGCCGCCGTGACGTCATGTGAAAACGCTCTATCGATTGAGGAATACTGAAAATAAATTAGTCCTTCCACTGCCCCGCACCAATTATTTAGAGAAAAGTTTCTTCTATAGCGGAGCTAAGCTGTGGAACAGCCTATCCCATGACTTAAGATCTGCAGATTCTTTATATGATTTTAAACGCAAACTGTGTCGCAACAGTTTTGAATGAGATCATACATTAATACAGTTTTACACTGCATCCTTGAAAAGCAGCTTTTGTAAATAGTTAGGTAGTTAAAATTTTATAAATATATTTTCAATCAGAGTTAGTTTAGTTAGGCATAATAGATCTTAGATTTTTTGTACATGCTGAAGGAATTTTAACCGTGTTTAAATAAAGTTATCTATCTATCTATCTATCTATCTATCTATCTAATTTAACATTACATCTCCAAAGTTTACCTGCGAACGTCCTTGTTTGCAATGTGACTCGTTGGACGACGGACACAAAACTCTGTCGAAGTGGGAGGTCCGAAAGAGTTTCCAAAACTACTCTGCCTTAACGTTAAGAATAGTCTTCCTTTGAGTTACTCATATCTCTCTGGCAAAACGACTGTTTGACCACTCCACGTGAATGGACCAATTTCCATATTTTAGAATTCAACCTCAAACAATTCGATTCTCTTGGGAATAAGCATTTCTAAAGAATTTATTAAGGTAATTCCCTTGAAAATGATGTAGTATCCAGATTTTTTTATGTCCTCACCCCCTCCCCTGACCCCCGCCCTTTCAAGACTTCTACAACTTGGGCTTAAAAGGAAAAAATTGGCGGCAACGCCCCTGATTGTCTTAGAGAACCAAAACTGTATATCGGTTGCCGACACGAAGAACTAGGTTATAAAGGGAGGGGTGACTGAGAGGACCACAAAGTAAAAATATTTCCAGACATCAAGACATTTTGAGGAGCTGACAGCTAAATAAGAAAGCTAACTAGCCGAGCTAACTAAACTGGAGAAACTCAGAGTGCGTTTCTTTATTAAAATCTAAGATCAAATAAAAAATCTGGATCATTAGAATTTTCCGTTAGGAAAAGAAACGATGTATCCAAATGTGAAAACAGGTTTTTCAACAGGTTTTTCCCTTCAAAAAGGGATAAACGGACGACGGGAAAACTCTACAATGCTCTCTGGGAAAGTCCTTTCCCTGGGGACACTCGCGGCATGCGAAAAGGCGCGGAATCCCTTTCGCCTTTTGAATACCCTTGAGACAACAATTGTACATAGAACTTGGCTCCAATGTAGAGGTTTAATCCAAGACGTAACCAGGATGTAACCGAAGAAATTCATACAAAGCACTTGTATTTAAGCCTAAGCTAATGATGCGATACAGATTACATCATAACTCAACGTGTCAAAATAACCAAATACAAAAATCATTTCTGAACGACTATTGGTGGAAATGGAAGCTTGTAGTGAAACATTAATAACTTGCAAAACTTTACACAAGTGGATAACGGTTCGTCACAGGTTGATTATAGCTTGGAGGCTACTACAGTCATGACTCGACAAATAAGTTTACGCTCAATAAATATCAACAGGTTGTTTACGGTTTAGAAAAGCTAGGACTAAAGAATAAAGAATTTCTACATTGGCTTTCCATATTTCTATCAGCGAAAACAAAATAACTTAATAACAATACATTATCTTTTCACATTCCTCCACCCTAAGTTTCAGCTCTCCTCAGCTGAGTGGAGAGGAAAAAAAAAAGAAGTTAAAACTTAAAGAAGTTGAAGAAGTTAAAAAGAAGTTAAAGATAAAGTTAAAATCTTAAAGAGAAACAACAAAAGCACAGCGAATAAAACTGGAACCTTTTTTTTTAGCGTTTAGTTTTGAATTTTTTTTAATATTTGTTTTTCTGGTTTTTGAAATTTTGTATTTGATTTTGTGCCTGAACCGCGGCATAAACCGAACTAGCCTGAATATAGGGGCCTCGGGGGTCCAATTAACAAAGCAATAAAATAAGCAAAGAGAATAGAGTACGCTAACTGGAATTTGTAGCGTTTGTGCAAAGGACACTTCGGGAGGTCAATTCATGTGGCTTCTTTTTTTTGCAAACTTGCGTAGAGCCATCTGGCAAGCGTTCACGCGGTGTCACAACAGGGCTGAAGACGCCGTGAGAGAGCGCAGTTAACACCACATGTTGCTTTGAATGCGTATGACTAATTTAGTATAGAACCTTACCCTGTTGCTGGGGTTGTTTCAATTGCCTAACAAGGTCTCACAGGTTCTTACACTGTCCTAAGAAACCAAATCGCTGTGTATCGATTGCCGACACGAAGATCCAAGTTGTAAAGGAAAGGGGTGACTGAGTTGGCCAAACAGTAAAAAATTACCAGAGGTCAAGACCTCCTTGGGAGCTAAGCTCCACAGGTAAATAGCAAAGCTCACTAGCCGAGCCAAAAAAAATGGAGAAACTGAATTAAGTAGTCGTATTTATACGCAGTTAAACAAATGAATTCTGCGACAGGAAAAAGGGGTACAGTAAACGGCAAAATTACGACCAACTTGCAGATAAAAGGTGCCAACAATAGAAATAAGAAAACTTGATATTGAAACAAAACGCAGGCGAACAAGCCTATGAAATAGCAGTCCTACGCATAACTAAAAGCGAGTAAATGTAAACCTACAAAATTAGTGATTCAACCCAGTAATTGAATAAGCAATTTGACTACAAAATTAGAATTGAGACCTTTGTAGACAGTAAGAGTAAACTGATCAGCCAAAAGAATAAAAACTCCAACTGTGTAACTATAATAAGAGCATTAAAAACTATATCATATTGTCAATAGGCACGTCTAAAATGACTCTGTAAAATATGGTATAATAATGAAAATAAGAATTGACTACTGATTCCTGATGTCCTTCTCAGGTGACTACTGGACAAGTTACTACCGCACAAGGTGTGCGCACGAATAGTCTTCTGAAACAATCTACGAAAAGTACACTTCATTTTGTTTTCGGAATAAGGAGTTCCTACGCGATGAACGTTCCACTTTGTATTTGTTACACAAAAAAACCGTGGGGAGTTCAACTTGAGATAGGAACCGCTTCACTGCATTCGCTTCGTACCTATACAACAAAAACAGCAAAAAGAAACGTTAGCAAGCTAGTAAAAGAAAAGGAGAGTGATTTCAGCCGGCGAGGTACAATATTCTAAATCTGTTAAAGCAACGGATGATATTTAAACTGATAACTTCATTCTACAAAGAGCCTTATTGTAGATTATTGATACTTTCATGCCGTACATCCTCTATGAGGACCCCCTATCCAATAAGCGCCTTCCCGCCAATTTCAGGGAAGAAAATTCTTTCCTTTTAAGCCCCCCTCCCCCTATTCTTAAATAATAGACGTATGGTAGATGAAATAATTAATCATGATTGTAACACCTCATGTGGACTGATCCCGTATGCTTTATTCACGTCCTGGAAGTTCAAATTTGTTTTTGATCTTCGGCTGCGCGACCTCCAATTTCATACGCTTCAGTTTTTCTACTTTGGCTTCGGTCTCAATTCGGAGTAGAGAATCGATAGTCATACTATGACCTCTGTTGCATCTCATAACCAACCACTCATCAAAAATACCAAAATCATTTTTCCACCCAAAGCACCATACCTGGAACCACTCCTGAGCGACCACCGTTCGTAAGTGACCGGCAAATATTGGCATTTTAGGTGGTCCCTTATGGCAGGTTCTACTGTAATTTTACAATGGAACGAACTCAAACAGAGCCACCGACACTTTGTAATGTACAGAAATGTTCTTGTGTTCGACTGCCTAAAATATCCTAAAGTCATGACCTGTGATTGGCAGCTTGATGTTAAGTGGCACCGGTTGAGTTCGTTGCCTTATAAAAATTTTGTTTAAGCACGTAATATGATTCCAGGTTTAAATACATTCCAAAATACCTTGCTATTTATTTGATGCCCTCAAACTCAAGCGTCACGTCGTCACCAATGAGAACAAACGGTGCCCAGTACCTCACTGCACTAAAGCGGTCAGATTCTCTCATGGATTTCATGGCCTCATTCAGAGCCTCACTGGCACTTCTTCCATTGACTAGTTGTCGGTAGAAAAATTCCATGAACTCCATCGTAGCCTCGTCGTCAATCGCCCACAGGGACACCAGAACAGAACGAGCACCAGCACCCAAAAAAGCACGTGCGATGCCGACCACACCCTCAGATTTGACCTCTCCTCGAGCACTATGACAGCAACTGAGTACAACAAGTCTTGCCCTAATCTGCGCCTTTAAAACATCCTTCATAGTTAAGAGATAGTCTTCTTTGACTGGAATCGGGGATGAACGTGTTGTGTTGGGGGCCAAGGCAATTTCTCCTGTTTCCATTTTACCGTGAGCAGCAATGTGCACCAAAGCAACCGAGGAGATACGTCTCAAAACTTCATCTTTTGTTGCATGCTTTCCAACGAGAGGTGCAGTTTGAAGTATTCCCCCAATCATCTGCACTTCCTTTTTGGCGTACTCTAACTGCATTAATTTCTCTCCTTCATAAATTACCTCTTGAACCCACGGATCGCCGACGAGAAGGGCGCCAGCCTTGCTGTACCAATCTGCCGGACAATTTTGGATTAATCGAAGACTATAAAGTGAGGGAAGTAGGCGAATTCTAAACGTTTCGCAAAGGTACTTGGATTTCTTCTCCATGAAAGCAGCATAAGGCGTTAAACACAGAGGGCCTTGTGGAACAATCACGACTTCATCGCCATGGAGTAAGTCTCTTATAGGATCTATAACAACATTGTACAATGTTTGTAATGACTCTGTCTCAAAATATGAAGGGTGAGAACTTGGCGTACTGGAGGATCTTTCTTCCGCTAGCTTTTTATCGTTTGGGTTTCCTAATGAGCGATCTTCACAGTTAACATCAGCTCTCACACCTATTTCTTTCCGTGTAGTCTCCAATAGAGACTCAAAATAGGTTGTGTCTGAGATATCGATCGGAGTTCTTCTAGTTTTGATTTCGTTTCCTTTCTCGTTCACCCAGAGAACTATTCCTTCCTTGTTGATACCAATGAAAGCTGTATTTGGTGGCAGGTAACTAAGAATGTCAGGTGTTGTTGCAGAGGGTGTTCCTATTTCTGGACGTAGCCCTTTGAACCCATACTTGAACCCCAAAAGATCGTTTAAAGCTTGTGCGCGTCCATGATCAGCAGTTAAAAGTGCCTCAACGACTTTATCTTGCTTAAACTGCAGCCACCATAGCCTCGAATAACTAACCTCGTGCTTACTTCTCAGGCTAATCTTCCATTCGTCATTAGATATGAGATTTCCCCTGATATTTTCGAAGGCCAAAACACTGTCTTTATAATAGTGAACGGCTTTCTGAAAATCTCCAAGACTGTCATAGGCGTTGCCAAGATTACAGTACGCTTTTCCTTCTCCTGCCCTGTGTCCCACTTCTTTCGAAATTTTGAGGTGTCGTTCATGGTACTCTATGGCTTTCTGGAAATCTCCAAGACTGTAATAGGCGTTGCCAAGATTACAGTACGCTTTTCCTTCTCCTGCCCTGTCTCCCACTTCTTTCGAAATTTTGAGGTGTCGTTCATGGTACTCTATGGCTTTCTGGAAATCTCCAAGATTTCTAAAGGCGTTGCCAAGATTACAGTACGCTTTTCCTTCTCCTGCCCTGTCTCCCACTTCTTTCGAAATTTTGAGGTCTCGTTCATGGTACTCTATGGCTTTCTGGAAATCTCCAATATTTCTAAAGGCGTTGCCAAGATTACCGTACGCTTTTCCTTCTCCTGCCCTGTCTCTCACTTCTTTCGAAATTTTGAGGTCTTGTTCATGGTACTCTATGGCTTTCTGGAAATCTCCAAGACTGTGATAGGCGTTGCCAAGATTACCGTACGCTTTTCCTTCTCCTGCCCTGTCTCCCACTTCTTTCGAAATTTTGAGGTCTCGTTCATGGTACTCTATGGCTTTCTGGAAATCTCCAAGACTGTCATAGGCGTTGCCAAGATTACCGTACGCTTTTCCTTCTCCTGCCCTGTCTCCCACTTCTTTCGAAATTTTGAGGTCTCGTTCATGGTACTCTATGGCTTTCTGGAAATCTCCAAGACTGTCATAGGCGTTGCCAAGATTACAGTACGCTTTTCCTTCTCCTGCCCTGTCTCCCACTTCTTTCGAAATTTTGAGGTGTCGTTCATGGTACTCTATGGCTTTCTGGAAATCTCCAATATTTCTAAAGGCGTTACCAAGATTACCGTGCGCTTTTCCTTCTCCTGCCCTGTCTCCCACTTCTTTCGAAATTTTGAGGTCTCGTTCATGGTACTGTATTGCTTTCCGGAAATCTCCCAGACTGTAATAGGCGAGGCCCAATGCGTGCTGTAAATCTTTAAGGTTGACAAAGGGGTCGCCAGTATTACCATTAATAGCTGTGGTTGTCATATTTTTTTTTTTTGCTGGCTGTGCTATTTCAGGTCAGCCACATACTGTGGTTTCTTTTTTTTGCTGATACCATTTCTCTTTTTGTGCGATAACGAAGAGGGTCTGAAAAGTAAAATTAAAAGCTGGAGTAAAAGCTTATTTATTAGCTCCTTTACAATTCGTTATGGACTTTATGGACTGGGGTCGTCTCTAAAAAAGGAAAATATTAACATTCGTATGGTAATAATGATCGAAATTTAAAAAAAAAAACAACAACAAAGAAACAGATCTACCATTGTTTAAACATGGTGTATATATAGAGGATATTATATGGCCGCGAGGAGATGGGAAAATTCTCTTCGAGTGTTGAAAAATATTTTACTCGTTCGCTGCGCTCACTCATGAATATATATATTTTTTAACACGAGAAGAGAAATTTCGCATCTCTAAGCGACCATGTAATGTTCTATTTATTATATAAACACCAATGAAATACCTACAATTTTACTTAAATAGTTTTTTGGTCTCAAAGGTGCGGTTTATTATGAAGCTATAGCAACAATGACATTTTCACATGTGAAGATAACATGTTATTTTCACATGTGAAGATATCAAGTTTTCGCGCGAAAGCTCACTTGGCATTTCATTGGTGTTTATGTAATAAAAATTGTCTATCTACTCATTCTATGTTCATTTACCTTCCAACGACAAAATTAAATTTGTTGTCAACAAACTACAAACCGGGCCAGCGGAAACATTTCAGAAAATTCAAATTTGGGAAAGTGAACTTATTTCTTAGGGTTAACATCTCTGGGTAGCGGAATACAAGTGTTTAGCAATTGAAAAGAAAACCTATTTCTTTACCACCAAAACACCGAAAAAGTTACAGGTATTTTAAGCTTCTGGGTTTTCGAAAAACTGTAATAGTTTCACAGATGGTTCCAGCTCAAGTCCAACTCGTTGCAAAAACCTGAGGAGTTTTCCTTTTTTCCCTCCTATTTTCTTAAGTAGATCTATAAGTAGGATGAGCATGATCGTCCGAGGGCTAACGTAGTACAAAATAGGACTGTTGCATTGACGTTGACTGACGCGCGGTAATCATCTGAAGAGTCAAAGTGAGTTGTATTACGTCAGTTGATGGTACAGTCGAACCTCCATGTGGGACCACCTCTCGTAAGCGACCACCTCCCATAAGAGACCGCCTATCCAAAACTCATGCACCAAAACTTTCCCAGTCAAAGCCTTACAGTTGGAACCTCTAGTAAATGACCACCTCTTGTAAGCGACCGCGACCACTTTTTGGGCCTGAGAGTTTAACGATTTTCCATTGTTTTTAAGCTCTAGTAAGCGACCAAACTCGACCACTTGACGCATTCTCTGATTCCTAGTTCGCTGTGTGCACTATGCTACTTAGAATATACGACATGTACGAAGAACTTTAGAAACAACATTGAACTACATATGGCGTAACTTATCTTCCACAAAGTAGATGTACCCAGACCTCTTCTCGGAAGAGGCCCCCTGTGGTTCGATTCTTGTAAGTGACCACCTCCCGTAAGCGACCACTCAGTCTTTGCATTTTGGGTGCTCGCTTACGGGAGGTTCGACTGTATTGAACTCTGATTATTGATCTGATTGGACAATTTCGTGATGTTATTGGTCGTCTGTCAGTTAAGTAGTGATTTTATTATTGGCTATGAAGACACGTAATGTCATTGGACAGTTGACTTTCCATCCGTCTATATTGTCACAGTTAAACAGTCGTGTATGTTAGTCCAATTGTGGGTTGTCCAGTCATTCTTTCGTAATTAGTTTTGCTTGAGTCTGTCAATAAAGTCGTTTGTACGGTGCCGGCAACTGTTGACTACGATTCAATGACGTTTGTTCTCAGTTAGTAAACCAGATTTCTAAAGTGGGTCGTTGATAATAGTCTGAGAATACGTAATACAAGTCGCAGTGTCGCGCGGTCGATTTGATGTTTCGTCTGTAAATGGTGATCAGCAATGTGATTGTTGACGTCACCATTTTCGTCGCTCGTATTCGTTCGGTCAGTCGCATGCTAAGGTTTCTGCCGGTTTCACCAATGTAACTAGCCTGGCAGTTGCAGCATGATCTTTAATACTGCTCCCCGTCTGTCCTCCGGTTTGTCTTTGTCCTTGACATTAGTGTGCAACACGTATGTTGTAAGGTTGTAGTATACGTGCGATAGTTTCACTTTCAGAGGTGCCTCTGATGTACGGTATAGTCGACGACTATATCGTACATCAGAGGCACCACTGAAACTATCGCATGTATACTACAAAAAACAGCGATAAAAAGTTTGAATAAAGCGATTTTAAAAATCATCCACGTTTGTTTGTCCGGAAATGGGTAGCCTGCGAAGAGCAGACGTATTTCCGGTCGACGGAACTAATTTCTTTTAAGTGATAAATTTACGTCATTGCCCCGCAGGATTTCGCCCAGAAAGCGAAATCCGGGGGGAGGTACTCTAGTAATTCGCGCGTATATTAAGGAAAGTACATACAGTTGAAATATACAGTCATACAGTCAATAGAGAAAAAAATCTCGATTTGCTTGAACATGGGCTGCGAGGAATCGGTAGGTAATGATGACGTTTCTATTGCTTGCGCCCGCAAGTACGAAATGGTTAGGATGACGTAAAGACAGAAAATCCCGAAGGGACCGCTCAGGTAGATTTTGTGACATTTATTGTGCAGTCATACTTCGATACTCTTTTACGTTACGCAGTGACATTCTGAAAAGCAGTTGTTTTGAAAGTTATGGACCAAAAGACACTCGTTAAGCGCAGATGAGCTTAGAAGTTGCGTTTAACTGTGTATATATAAACACTTGGAGAGTTTGCCAGACATGAGTTCAAAAATCTTTGATTTGTATTGGAAACCTTGCCAGACACTCTTTCTCTCCGTTTGACCGGAATGAGACTCAGCCCCAAACAAGCAAGACGAGTGAACAACGGCTAGCTTATCACTAGCAGAACGATGGACGATTACAGAAATTCTCCCACAATCAAATTCTATGCTGACTTATTCCCTGCTCACAGATGTCCTTCCGTTATAAAGTTTCAAATAAGACTAGAATGCGCGAGCGTGAATCGATCAAACGTCCTTTTAATTTCTAAGGCTTACTTTCCGGCAAATAAAATGAACTGAATGTAAAAAGTGAAAGAGAAATAGCGAAAATTCAACTTCTAATTAAATCTTTTGTTATGGTTTAGAATACACTGTTCTCTTTCGATATGCTCCGCATTATGGGATAATTATGCATACTTCCTACCTACCTACTGGTCAGCGGTCACGTTTCAAAGAAGCTATTCAAATGCAAATCAGCAGTGATATAAACCCCAGGAGGCGGCGTGATAACCAGTTCTTCCTTTCGTGCTTTACAAGGTCAGCGAGTTCGTTTATATTTTTCTATTTTACGTTCCTTGTTTTCGCTTTTTCAAGGGGTGTTCCTTGTTCGTCTACTCACATTTGTTCTTTTGGTCGCTTTACTCCTTCTTTTAGCTTCCGTCGCTTATTTGGCGCTCGACAGTTGACAGCAAGAGTTTCGCTTGCCCACGTGGTGATGTCTTCGCCAGCCGGCGCTAACACTGCACCTTTGGAACCCAATGTGGTGATTGCGAATGAAGTTCACGACGCGGTTGGGGTCGACGATACAGACCACGTGGAATTTGATTTGGATGAGTTGAAGGAACAGCTCGGAATAGATAGTATTCTTGAAAAGCTCAACGACCTTGCTGCAAAGTTCTGTAGCGAGAAATCTAGGACTGAGTACTCTGGTTCAGAGGCTCATAATTCAAAGTCCTCTTCAGAAACCGCCGAAGGGGTTTTTGACCCCTCGGCCGCAGTAGTTTCACACGAAGTCGCCTCGACTAATGAGCCTCACGAGGAGGAGTTTAAGTTCCCTTCGGTCTTCGAGGAAACCGAAAGTTTTGGGCCTGAAGTGGCTGAGGTCATTGCTCAACGTGTTAATGACGCTTTCAAAAAAAAGCCATGGATTCCAAGTTAAAGGATCTGTACGAAAAGTATAAGACTCCTGCTAATTGTAAATACTTGTGTGTGCCTAAAGTCAATTTAGAGTTGTGGCACGATTTGTCTAAGGAGTCTAAATCCAAGGACCTCGGTCTTCAGGAGCTCCAGAAAGGTATTGTCAAGGCATCACAGCCTATTATACAGTTGTTTGATTCAACACTTAAAGCTCGTAAAGACAAGTCTTCAATGGATCCCAATGTTTTGCTACCTTTATTGGCAGACGCTGTTACCTTTCTGGGGCATGCCTCATTTCTTACATCTCTTAAACGAAGAGAGTTTCTTAAACCAGATATCGCTAAGCCTTACCAGTCTGTTTGTAACAAGTCTAATACCATTACAACTTGTTTGTTTGGGGATGAATTGCCCAAGCATATTAAGGAGATCGGAGAGGTCAATAAGATATCTAGGAGGGTGTCTGGCCGTCCGACTTCAATCAAGAACATGGTCAGTTCTTACAAGAGAGGGTCTGATGCACCTAGTAGGAGCTACCCACAGAGGTCTGGTAGAAAGTCCACTTTTTTAGGCGACCGAGGTCGTGGAAGTTACTTTCACGACCGGCATCAAGTGGGAGGACGATCAATAACCAGCACCAAACCACAGAAGGACAAAGTGTAAACAAGGTACATGTACGCTCTGTACCTTTGTTACAGACGGTAGTTTATCTGGGAGTTTACTAGTGATCCATGGATCTTACAAACTGTCTCAGGTTATCACCTTGAGTTTGAAACAACCCCTCATCAAGTAAATCTACCAAAGTTTCCTAAATTTACTGAAAGGGAAACTGCTTTAATTGAGTCAGAGATTAACAAGCTAATTTCCAAGGGCGCTGTGACTGAAGTGTCTCCTTGTGATAATGAATTCATTTCTACAGTCTTTTTGGTTCCCAAGAAGACTGGGGACTTTCGGCCAGTTATAAACCTTAAGCCCTTAAATCAATTTGTTGAAAAGATTCATTTTAAGATGGAGAATATCCGCATGGCCTTGAATTGTATTTCCCCTGGGGACTTCATGGTCTCTATTGACCTTAAAGATGCTTATTTCAGTGTACCTATTTTCCAGCCCCATCGTAAATACTTGCGTTTTCTTTGGAATTTCAAGCGTTATGAGTTTACTTGCTTACCTTTTGGGTACAGCCTTGCACCCAGGGTCTTCACTAAGATTTTTTAGCCTGTTATGGCTTATTTTAGATTTCTTGGCTTCAGGGTTATTATTTTCATTGACGATCTCATACTTATTGCAAGCTCTTATGATGAGTGTTTACAGCAACTTGAGGTCTTGAAACAAACTCTTTGTGAGTTGGGCTTTACTGTCAATTTTGAGAAATCTCAGCTAGTTCCTGTCAATGAGATCCTTTATTTGGGTTTCATAATTAATTCCATCGCAATGAGATTGCAGTTGCCAGCTGTTAAGTCAGAGAAAATAGTCTTGGCCTGTAAAGCCCTTTTAGCTAAGCATCAACCTAGTGTTAGGGATGTTGCTAAGGTAACTGGGCAGTTAGTTTCTGCACTCCCGGCTGTGAATTACCTAGAGATGCATTACCGTTCCTTAGAGTTATGCAAGACCCAGACTTTGTCGGGAAGCCTTGATTATGTCAAGACACTTTCTTTAAACTCTCAAGCTCGTTCTGATTTACAGTGGGTCATTGAGAATATTGCACAGTGCAATGGTGAACTTTTTCAGATTCCGAAAATTGATATTTACATCCAGAGTGATGCAAGTTTGATTGGTTGGGGAGCCGTGAGTGGTAGTCTGTCTGCATCTGGCAGATGGTCTCAAAGTGAATGCAAACATCATATTAATTACCTGGAACTTCTAGCATCATTTCATGCTCTCCAGTGTTTTGTGTCTAACTCAAGGTCCATTCATGTTAGACTTGCAGTTGACAACTCCACTGCAGTGGCCTATATTAATAATATGGGGGGTGTACGATCCCCCTTATTAGATTCATTGTCCAGAAGTATTTGGGAATGGTGCAAGTTGAGGGATATTTTCATTTCTGCTCAGCACATCCCAGGGAAGGTTAATACTCAGGCCGATACCTTATCGAGGGAAATCTCCTCTAATTTGGAGTGGTCCTTAAATGGTGAGGTTTTTCAGCAAATTTTTTCTCAAACCTTTATTCCTGACACTGACCTCTTTGCATCTAGGCTTAATGCTAAGACTGCAAGTTTATCTCCTGGCACCCACAGCCAGGTGCAGTGGCTATAGATGCCTTTTCTTTGAGCTGGGCTCATATGAATTGCTATGCCTCTCCTCCTTTTAGTTTGCTGCCTCGAGTACTAGCCAGGATTCGCCACGACAAAGCCGTAGTTTTGTTAATTGCACCAGTATGGCCTACCCAGAGTTGGTATCCACTTCTGTTACAGTTGTCAACAGTTCAGCCAATCTTGTTCCATGAATGATGATCGAGATTCTCTTGATTCACATCCTTTAATAGCGAGACTTATCAAGGGAGTTTACATTCTCAGACCACCTACTCCAAGGTATTCTTCTACATGGGATGTTTCTAAAGTGACTGAATATTTAAAGACTTTAGCACCTCTACGTGAGCTAAGTTTAAAGTTGTTAACTCTCAAGACTGTCATGCTGTGTGCATTAGCCTCTGCACAGAGACAGCAGACATTATCTGCTTTAGACCTAAATTTCAGAAAGGTATCTCGAGATTCAATTAGCTTTGTTGTGACTGATCTGTTATAGACTTCCAGGCCAGGGAAGTCTACTGAGATCACATTTTCGTCTTCGGGTTGTGCTTCAATTTGCCCGTTTGTTGCGTTAAAGGGTATATTTCTCGCTCCGAAACACTTAGGTTTCGTAGCGGACATTTTGCTTCTAAATTGTTTTTGTCCTTCATTAGGCCCCACAACCCAGTGTCCCCTAGGACAATAGCTAGGTGGATCATGTCAGTGTTACAGTCCGCAGGGATTGACACTTCGAAATTTAAGGCACACAGTGTAAGAGGGCTGCCACATCTCATGCGTTTGTCACAGGCACCCCAGTTGCAGATATCCTTAAGATGGCCGATTGGTCTAGTGAGCATGTTTTTCACAGACATTATTTGAGAGATGTTCGAGAATAGGTCTAGGCCTATATCTTAATAAATGCCTTATTTTGCTGTGCATGGAATTGCTTGGTGTGTTTAGGCCGCGGTTCTTTAAAATCGCATAATTATTCCATAATGCGGAGCATATCGAAAGAGAAATGAAAATTAGACGAGAGGTACTTACCTTGAAGTGTAATTGAAGTTCTCTTAAGATATGTGGAGCATTATGGGATAATGCTTCCCAACCCTGTCTCTTTTTACTTTTCCTTGGTTCTCTTGAGGACCTTGGCCTATCATATTTGCCCTTCAGGAAGAACTGGTTATCACGCCGCCTCCTGGGGTTTATATCACTGCTGATTTGCATTTGAATAGCTTCTTTGAAACGTGACCGCTGACCAGTAAGTAGGTAGGAAGTATGCATAATTATCCCATAATGCTCCACATATCTTAAGAGAACTTCAATTACACTTCAAGGTAAGTACCTCTCGTCTAATTTTCATTTCTCGAAAGTGAGAATGTTTTTGATCAGGACCCATATTGATAGCAGTTTTTATAACTGAAAAGGTCATCCTGTTTAAACATGTTATTATTATTATCATTATTATTATTTTATCAAAGCTGTGTAAATCGAGCTGAAACTGTGCATCAAACCTTGCGCTTCCTCTATTTATCTCACCTATTGTAAGGAATATGTTTGAAAATCTTCATTATGAATCGGTATATTTCAAAGAGCTACACAACGAGCAAGAATACCTTTCACCGACAATATACAGAACGGGGGAAGCTGTAGTGTCAACTATTACTAGTTACTACTCTATAGCAACGAATTATTAATCTGGCGCATGCTCAACGGAAATCCCAAGCGGCTTGCTGCAGAGGTTTCTCACGGGGCATGACCGGGGGTAAACAAACCAACTATACGACACACAAGCCACGCCATTGACTTCGTAAACGCTAAAAGCCATGCAAGAGAGAAATCCCTACTCGCAGGGTAGTAACAGTAAGGTGAAAACATAATTATTTTTAGTCTGTTCACAGACCCTCCATTTTCTCTTCAAAGTCCGTCTAGCGCGGGTGATAAGAAATATAGCCTGTGCACAGACCCCCACCTCAGTAAAAACTCGGAAAATGAACCCGATTTCCGATTGTTATTGAGGCCGGAGGGGAGTCTGTACACAGGCTATAAAAAATATAAATCGCGGGGGATTTATTGACCGCTAGCGCAAGTGGGTAGGGGTGGGGGAAGAAGAAAATAGACGCGACCACCTTCCGTAAGAGACGGCCTATCCTAAACACCAAAACTTTCCCAGTAAAAGCCTTATAGTTGGAGCCTCTAGTAAACGACCACCTGCCGTAAGCGACCGCAACCACTTTTTGGGCCTGAAAGTTAACTGATTTTTCATTGTTTTTAAGCTCTTGTAAGCGACCACTTTACGCGGCATTTTCTGATCTCTATGCTCGCTGTGTGCACTATGCTAGAATATACGACTTGTACTAACAACTTTAGTAACAACATTGAACTACACAAGGCGCACAACTTAGGAATTGCATACAATAAATTATCTTCCATAAAGTAGATGTGACAGCCAATGTCTCTTTTTATCTTATTACGATTCTTGCTTTGAGTGTGAAAAACCATTCCTTAAAGGAAAGGAATGTCCTGGCGAATATGCTCACGGTAGATCACCACGTCAAACAAATATTATATCTGTTCACTAGGACAGTTACAAAGGCTTCATAACGCAATATCAGACAAAAACAAAATTTCAATTTAATTTGCTTTGTTAGCTTTAAGAACCAGAATTGAGAAATGTACTACTTGTTTATATTAACGGCGTTTTGACCCGTAACGACAATAGTTTTTTAAATTTCCGGTTAAGTCAAGTTGTAGTCACACTATATTTTGGGGAGCAGAGGGACTGTTTCCTGCTTAAAAT